AATGCGAAACGTGGTCACTGACGAAAGCTGAACAGCAAGCGCTGGCTATGATGGAGAGAGCGAGAGAATGAAGAGTGACTGGCATATTTCTCAACTGCGACCATATAAACAATCAGACTCCTTGTCAAATGAGTGGAGTGCACAAGACATCATTGCGATCAATAAATTACAATGTACAAAGCGTGATGTTTATTTTAATAAACATTAATAAATGATGCCTGTGGGAAATAACCAATCTCTCAGGCGATCCCCGAAGGAGCATAGACAGAACAGGCGGTGAATAATAAGGTATGCGAAATACACATTCCCATCACGCAATCACAGCCCTCACCGAGCCCGGTCTTCAACAACGCTGTGCTGAAGACAATGACATACGGATGCGAAACGTGGTCACTGACGAAAGCTGAAAAGCAAGCACTGGCTATGACCGAGAGAGCGAAAGAACAAAGGGACGTTGTTTTCGTAAAGCGCCACTGTTTCTGTGGTATCTCGTGCGCTTTGTTCGACCCATGAAAATCCGACGGAGGCTATTTGAATTTCGTACCAGATCGTACCGATATCCACAGCAGGTCTTCAAAGTGAACAGTCCCTAATCGTCAGAATAATAAAGGTAAGGGAATTCGGCAAATTTGGACCGTAACTTCGCGAAAAGAATTAGCTCTAAAGGCTGGGCTGATCGAGCTGCAGTGTGAAGTGAGTACGGTTTCGGCGCATCTCTCCGCATGACCATATAAACAATCAGATTCTCCGTCAAATGAATGAGTGGTGTGCAAAATGTTGTTGCGGTCATACGGGAAAGTAAATTACGATGTTGTTCACTTTACTGCGCACTAGTGAGTGTTGCCTACGGGAATAACCGACCACTCAGGTGATCCTCGAAAAGGTGGGGCACATACATCGAACAGGCTGTGGGTAATAAACGTATGCAAAAAATACACATTCCTATCATCTAATCGCAGTCCTCATCATACCCATTCTTAAACAGCACTGTGCTGAAGGCAACGGCATACGGATGCGAAACGTGGTCACTGACGAAAGCTGAACAGCAAGCGCTAGCTGTGATCGAGAGAACGAGGGGTATTCGAAAATTTGAGTGAAGCAGGTGCGGAGTTTAAGCGGCTGCACAGAAATCTACACACCGCTAGCCGACATTTTTTTCGCAACGTAACAAAAAAGAATACAACTGCTTCTCAGTAAAAATCGGCAGCTTGGCGAATTCAGCAAAGGTGCAGACTGCAACCACACGTGCACCACCCTGCACCCGCGACCCCCCCCCCCCCCCCCCCCCCCCCCCCCCCCCCCCC